ATACCAATAGTAACAGAACAATAGATGTAGGTTACTTCATTCCCCGGAGATCAATGAGTGTTTGGATAGTGTGACTTACTCTCCAGTGGGAATCACACGATAGTTTCTGGTTAAATCTATTTCTCGCTTGAACCGAAAGATGCATGCATAGACCATTCGTGACCAGCGATGGACACCAATAGGATTTTCGGTCGTCACTTCCACAGTCATCTTTGTAAATTGTGCAGCAATGGATAGCAATCAACTAGCAGAAATTTTTATTCCTTTTACAGTTAGATAAGCCTTACCTTGATGAACTGTATCCTATGAATGTAATTAATTGGATTGGTGGACTTGAGGTGGTTTAGTTGCAGTCACCGGCCTGCTCTGAACCCTGTCATCGAAGGTTCGGACTCCGCCAGCACCATCGAACACTGGTGATGGGTAGCTTTGCTGTCGCTCGGTTCAGTACCACGCCACCACATGGCGGGGCCATGTGTGGTTCGTCAATCCAAGTCCCGGTTACTGGTTTCCATTATTGAACAACAGACTCTCGTGACCATGGGGTTTAACGCATCTGCTGATCATCACATTAAGGTGTATGATAGACAGATTGCTAAAATTATTGGAACTTAGTGTGAAATCGGATCACACAGTCTTGTAGTTTCCCTGCAGACCCAATCCACGTTCTATCCCCTTTAGTGCATCTACGACGGAACGTCCAATTCTACTACTTCTTTCTGTGTTTACTCTTCCCTAAGCTCCTGTGGAGCAAACTATGTTGACCGCACGACCAGGTGTCTGTTTGTGAGCATTGCCCTGTCTGGTTGAGACGAGGAGTAATTAGGTCAATCACAGGTGGCATTGTGTTTTGCACCTTTTTCACACCAATCACACACACAGAGTAAACGTGGCCGAAGCATTCGGATCTCTGTACAGAGTTCGAACGGGATCGTCTACAGGGACGTGCGTTTTCCGTTTTCCAGCTTCAGCGGAGGCAGCCAACATTCGTATCCATACGCGCGCACACACACACACACCCTTGTGAGCTCAAAATCAATGTCTTATGCAAACACTGAAGCTATCATGGCCGGATTGCTGACAAACAACACGTCCTGTAACTTACACAAAACATGACGACTTTCGTCAAAACTCAATATTCAACACACCAGTTCAATTTGACTCCATCACAATCCAAAGGGTTTGATTCGATGGACTGAATATAAACACACTGGGACACGCACGCAGTGTACCGTGCTTTGATGTGAAATTCAAGAATTTGTCTAAGATAAAACCGTTATGCCAAGCGATACATCCTGTAACATACGAACAAATGATAATTGACGCCTAACGAATTCAAGTCACCATATGCAAAGTGGGAACCGATTACGTTGGAAACTGTTGAACAGTGTAATTACTTTCCTTTCATCCGTAATCCTCATTTGTAACTGATCATATATGTCGCATTGTAATGGCGTCAATAAAATGCACGGAAAATGAGTTTGTCTGGAAATTTTGAGTTCTCATCATGTGTTCTATGGGACAGTTTAAACATTTTCGGTTTTTGATGAAGAGAATCACTGGGGCTAGCTGATGCATCTAGCTAGGGGTATTTTTTAAAATCTCATTATTGAAAACGAAGCTGAGAAAGGTTATTCACTCACTTCTAGCAGGGGTTTCAGTCCTTCAGAGAGACCACATTTGCATTCGTCCAAATCCACTTGAATCTCATTCAGAAATCGTGACACCATTTTCAAATGGTGCTCATATTTTCCCAGCTGATTCTGATCAAAAGACCATCCGGTCTCCGTTGCGTCCGCGGTTGGCATCATTTGTGATGCATGCGGTCGTCCGCTCGTGCGTCGTTGAAGGCGTTCATGGTCGGCTGTGAGTTTCCACCCGTAGGTCTCCTCCAGGTGTTTGAGTAGCTTGGAACAGTGCATACTTTGTGCGTCAGTTGGATTTTTCTGGAATTGATAAAGTTATCGATTTTAAACAGAAACCGGAAAACAACGGTGTCAGTGAGAAAATGCATGAATTTATCGGTTTCAAGATACGATCAATCTTAGATAAAATACCGGACAGTTCCCTAATTGATTTTCAAATGACCCATGGTAAATGGGAGGTTCCATGGAAGCTGTGCGATCGATAGAATAGACTGATGATATTGGGTGCATGTTCGGGCGTGATTAAGATACGCAAAATGTAACACACATGAAAACATTCCGTTATCCCACTTGGCTAATGCTCTGTGTCTTCAAATTGCAAGTGAGTGCTGCAAGACTGGTTACAAATAGACCGTTCTTCTGCTGGGCAGTCGTGTAAAGCTTATGGTAGTGCAATGTGAAATGACTGACTGGACGTGTATTCTGCAATCGAGCGGCTTGCACTTGGTTGAAACACGTTTGGCATCAAAAATACATTTAATGTAACTTAAAAGGCTACATGTATTGTGTCATATGGAACTCTTCCAACCAACAAAATATGCACAGTTTGGCATAACCGCAATGTGGCGGCTGTTAGCAATACTAGGGAAATTAACCGGATGTGAAAGCAGAGTTGTATCCCACCGAGAGATAGATTTCAGGCGTGCGCAAAAGGTCACAAGAATAAGTAAAATAAATGATTGGATTTATTCCGGTTGACCTTTTGTGATTCAATCAACACTTGTCCTGTGCTATTTCGCGTATAAACCTCATCAAATTTGGTGCACTGGTGAGACAACCCTTCCAGGTGACGCCGGCCAAAGGCCTACGCGTTCCAGTTTATGGACATCGCTCCATGGGCTAGCAGTATCGATCAATTAACAGCCATATAGTTCAAATAGAAGCCGCATGACTTGTAGAGCGAGAACGGTGACTGATTGATTTTCGTTCGACCAATGATAGTTCTATTTTCACATTACTTAATCCCACTGACTGCTCTCAATAAATGAACCGGTACTTCGGTGCTAATAGAAAAATGTGGAAATGAATAACTTAACAGAATTTCCAGTAAAAAGAAGTAATCAACCCAAGAACTGTCACGGGACTTATGAAGTCCGAACAACAGANAACAACAGAGGGAGGGGTGTCGACGAGAATCAGATTCGAGCACATGAGCGCCTGGGGTCGATGTTTATCTTGCCGTGTACCATTTTGACCGTGTTTTTAATACATGCGAATAGCTGATTAAGCCCACGTGAATGAGGTGAGCTACATTCTCAATTTGTAACAGTTTCACCAAACTAGATCCGGGGAGCAAAGATGTTTTGGTTCGCCCCCATTGTGAACTATGGTACTGTCGGAGAATTTCCAGACAGCTTTAGCGTCTGTCGACCTTCAAAAATATAACCGGTTTACTGGACAAGAAACGAGAGATTGCTTCAAAAAGAACTTACCAAGAAATCCGCTATGGCCAGTTCTGCGGTAGTCAGTTGCTGTTCCAGCAAGGCCATGTGTTCACCTCGTCTGTCCAATTTGTCATTAGTTTCGTGCCATACCATCTGAATGGAAGGAATGCGGATTGGAGTCACAGCTTTATCGAGTGCGTCGGTGGCACCTGCGCACGCACACACGCACGCACATACATGTAACAAGAGACAGGTAGCTTTCAGTCATGTCACGTTCGCTGTGCTTCTGCGTCAGCATGCACCTCAGATTGCACACACAGACACACATACACACATGCACCTATCAGAAAGAATATTAGAAGTTTTTTACTTTCGCACCATGTCGAATTGAACAATCGGTGATTGTTTAAACGTCACAAATTGAACCAACCAGACACCATTCATTTCGAAGAGAAGATGATGTTTCAATCATTGGTCAGCAATATAGTTACAAAGTGCGTGTGTGCTGTGCGCATCTAACTCACAGTTACTTGCGAGTAATGTTGTTGTGGGATAATTGACATTGACTAATTAGAACTGACCATCCTTCATAATTCACCTTCACGACTATTCCTCAACGCTTCCAGTCAACCATACACTCGGAAGCACTGGACACGAGTTTCACTCTCATTGGAGCCCACCAGTAGTGCATACCCACCGTTCCACACTCCGGAATTTGAACTCCGGACTCATAAACTTTAATGGGCGTGAAGTTGAAGTCTGAGGGATGGTCAGTTCCAATCAATCACTATTCCGTGTTGTGTCTGAATCAAAATCAGTTGATGGTTTTTCGGAACACCCAGAGAACTTCATGCATAAATTAAAAAAAGATCAACCCTAAGGGAGGTTGTATTGATATACTGTCATTTAGACCGCAATTTTACCACCCGAGAAGAAGAACGTGCAAATTTGGAATGGATGTTCAGTTTGAGGACCGGAACACCTGAAAGACAAAGTTCAGATCTGTCTGCAGTGAGGAGGCCAACAACATTATTATTCTGAAAACGATGAAGGTTAACTGTGCAAAAATTAATCACAAACTGAAACAGTAGCCCAAATGCAACCAATCCTGAAAAGCAGTCCAACTCCCTACGCACAATACCAGTGCCAAATGGTTAATGCGAGTACGCAACCCTGTCAGATAGCGAATTTTGGCCTACAGTCCTGGGGGATAAATTCGAATTCGTTAAACAAATCGCAAATAAATAGATTACAAAAAATAATGATTGTTTCCTGCGTGTCTTCTCCGTTGGCGAACGTCCCATTTCTGGATACTATAGAGAAACCGAATGAGTCAAAGTTCGAATTTGGGAAGAGCATGTTTCAAGAGCGCTTTTAAGGTACAACATGCAATGTGTTTCAGCCTTTTTTTTGAATTATTGTTCTAGAGGATAATTTCATCACAGAGATCCGTTGTCAAAGCGACAGCTACATTCAGATCAATTCATACCGCACATGGAATGGAACGGTTTCCACCAGCGTTTCCTATCTATCATAGCATACCTAGAGACCAAAAATTCAACTCCGTAGCAATCGTATACAATTGCAACGAGATTTAAGCGTGATATACAGGTGTTGACCAAACTCGTACAACATCACCCTCATTTTGAAAATCCATTTCAGCTTGCAGTATCATAATTATATATAGATGGCTATAAGTAAAGTGCATTTATTCCCATTTTATCTCCAACATCTATATTCTTAGTTCATTTTTATCACCATTTGAATGTGTGCGACCTTGAGTGTCGCTATAAAATTTGCAGTAGTCCGAAAGTTGCAGCTCTGATTTAGAAAATATTTTGGGCGAAGCAGCATGGGAGCTTATTCTTTTTAATAGATGATTCCTGTCCTATGAGAATTTCTATTAAGTTGAGCACATGTATTCTAAATTTCTGTTTTCTTTTCATTCAGTGCACACTAAATAAGCAAATTATTGAAAATATTCTAACCTAAATAAAATGCTAAATTATTTGGATACAATCTACTCACGCATTATCTACAATACTGGAAGAACTGAAAACATAGTGTAAGAAAGACACAAGTTGATCTTCGAAAGGTGACCTTGAGATGTGTGGCTCATTGAATAAGCGTCCTGTAGTGTCAACATGCCCAAACCGGATGAAACTTTCAAAGCATATAATTAAAGCCGAGAAGGTTGGCATATCAGCTCGCCAGAGCTTGGTGGTAGAAAACGGTTAAACCAAAATAAATATTATTTTTTCACATTTATGCAGTTTCCAGACGGGTCGATTTCAATGTCAAATTCGTTTTATTAACGCGCAGCAGCTGGGATTTTATTTTAGTCGGAAACTTTTCCCTCTTTCAGAAACAGAGATAGGTCAGCTACCTTGCCACAGGTCGCCGGTGTTAGGAGTGTGCTAGTGGAAACTTGCAAATTTTGTTTGGCAGTCGACTTGGTGGATTCCATCCTAAAGTGACTGCCTCCAGTGCACAAAAATGAAGAGGAGCAAATGGAACATGAACGAGATGAATGTCCAACACCTGTATAAAGTCTATGAGTCATTTTAATGAATAAATTACAGTTACGTTTTCTACTGTGACCTTGTTATCTTACGACTGATGCATTAGCAACCGTCGTTGAAATCGCGAAATTGTACGTTTTAATGGCATGTGGCTAATAGAAGCAGTGACATAAGTGGATATTACATCAGATATGTTGCGTCTGATGTGGGGCAATAGCATATTCAATCCCGTGATTGAGGCTGGCGAAACGAAGCATTGAGAGGAACAAATGTGATGAAAATCAGCATGTTGCACTAGTTTGGTCAATACCTGTAATGTATTAATAATATCATCACTACTCGTGAGTAGTTCATTCGATTGTTGGAAAATTCCACATCTGGCACGTGCCAAAAGCATTTTGAGAATAACTTAATATTTTTCAAATGTATCGTTTGCTCAAGTTAATGTCATTTTTAATCAATCAATACGTGTTCGTCTTTTTCCAGAAAAAAATCATTTTATTTAAATGACGGGAGCTCAAACAGTTTGAAAAGGAATTTATGATGTGCTACAACAAACTGTTCCATCTTTTGTAGTGTATATCGACCTAGAGTACAAGGGATGGAACCGGGTGAAGTCACGAAAAGAGTGTATGTTCTGGAAAGGTATGTTAATACGTTGTTTGAATAGATAACTTAATTTCGACGCGCCCTCATCAAAGGAAACCAGGATAACAGAAAAAGGACGATTTTTAAATGGACTTTAATCAGATAATTGGGCAAAATCTTAATACCATTCTGTGAATATACCTTCACATACTAAAATAATTTCCACATATGATCACAATAAACCAAAATCGATTTATATTTATTTGTACTATGCATTATTTGATCAACCCTATCAGAATGTAGCAGATTTGAGCAATGATAAACACTAGGCGGAAGCGAAAGAGGTTACTTTTAGGTCGTAATGTCCAGCAGTTTGTTTAACCCGATGACTGAATAGCACCCGCATCACGTGATCAAATTGGGTGGATCGGATTGGAGAATCACTAAACCAACTGGTCTTACAACAACTCAACCATCAAACTCGCAGTATGCCCCTAAAAAAACACAATTTTATTCAGTCCCAGATCTGTTTGGGCAATATGGCGATATGCAAACGATCGTCCACTAAGAATTTTTCCTCTGTTGGAGAAAGAATTATATTGGTTGTGATAGGCTAGACTGAACTAGGAATTACAGCTGCACATAGTGCCTTGGGTGTACCTGCAGACTGAGAAGATCCTGCAGTCGATCGCCAGTTTCTCCTCCACCTGCGTTGACGATTAGTTCACGCAATCGATCGCCCAGATGTGTGCGTTGTTGACGGAAATGCTGTACAAAATGAAGCGGATCCATGGGGGAACAAAATCGTTAACTATGGTTCACAGTGAGATAATATACGGGTGCATGTACAACAAACTGAGGTGCGCCAGATGAAGAACACACAAAGTGTCAGCGTGCATGATGAATATAAATAAGGAAATAAATAAATATAAAGACACACAGCAGCACATAAAAAAAACGGAGGAATAAGTTGAATTAATTAGGTAAAAATAATAACAAACGAGGCAAAACTACTCATTGCAACAAAAGTTTTGCTGCATCGTAAAACTGATTTACAGTCAGTTTTTAACAGTTTTAACAATCGATTTCAAGACACGGTTGTCGTCCTGAGAATGATATCTCGAAAAAAATTCTGGTTTCGGGAATTCCGTAACCAGTTAGAAAAAGATGCGGTGAACTTTGAAGCAAAACAAGATGCTGAACAATTTACTTATGAAGATTAAATTTTTGAATTTTTATAGAAAATTACTTTCCCAGTTGATAAAAAACCTAGACATGCAGTAGTAGTGCTGGAGGGAGACAGAGAGAGAGTGAGAAATATGTCGTTTCAGTGTCCAGGTGTGCATGACACTGTACACGAAATATATTACTATGGATTTATATACATACATTAGCATGCAACAATTAAAGCACTATTGTCAGCTATAGTATTGAGAAATAGTTTCACCCACTCCACCGCAATGTTTCTAATCCATTCCCTCATCTATCGGGATTGAAATAATTCAGACGAATCAACCGGTTAATTAACAAAGCAAGGACACAACGGATATTTTGAGGTGCTATTCATATGTGAGTAACGTGTTTGGATTGTGCAAACGAATGTGACTGACTGGTTGGTTCTCACAACAGTCAAAACTGGACAAGACCGCCCAGAGCGAATTAGTGTGTTCACAACAGTAACTAAAGAAAAAGAGCATCTACCGTCAGACTAGTTCAATCCTTATTCTGCTTGTTTGTGGGAATTCTGATGACCTGTTCCAAATGAAACATCTTGTTTTATGTAGTCCACACTCCTTATCCCGGTACTGTTTTATCGGTATACGATGGTTTCATTCAATATATTTATCGGCATTGATATATAAATGCATGTATTGATTGATTTTTGTCATCCCACGTTTAGGCTCAAACATCTTTGGCTGCACTTGAAAATCCCGACAGATTTTTATCCACAAAGTATTACTTTTTCAGGTCCAGCTGAATATCATCAGAAACGACCTGCTGTCTGTAAATTTAGTTCTTTTAACAAGTGAAGATAATGAAGAAACAATCTAATTTTGGTTACTTTATGACAAAAAGTCAATGATTGTAACTGTAAAATATTATAAAGGGAAAGTTTAGCCTTGTATAGAGAAAAGAGAAACTTTGAAGTTTAAGGTTAAAAAACACTAGATCACCTCTTCAATCTTGCTAAAAGAGAGCGATCAGGCCACGAGTTGTGTGTGCTATTATCTGGAATACGTATTGTTTGGTGAAACTTGTAAGTTCTTCGGCAGGACGCTGGAGTTATTGCAACTCGTAAGTACTACACGGAGCATGAGTATCCCAACTTTGTGTACAATGCGATATTCGAACGCCGCTAGTTATGTGGCATTGCCAAAAGATGAAGAGGAGAGAGAGAGGGTCGATAAAATAACGCTTCCCGGGTTAATCGAACTGTATTATAAAGTTGTGGTCACGTATTGAAGCAAATGTTTGATATCGACCGGCCGTGTTGGCCGAGACATGTGTAACACGTGTGTGTACCGGAAAGGGCTAAATGACTCACTGACACGGGTAGTTCAGTTCAGATTTTACAACCATTAACCAAGCACTTCCGTGCGCCAGTTTTGGTTGATGTCGTTTGGTGCCCCATTTGGATAAAAGAGCACAATGAAGATTGGAATGTTGAAAGCAAATACGAGTGGAAGATGGAGATTTCAATTAGAGTGGTGTTAGGAAAATAATGAGTGGATACACGAGCGCCATTGTTTGCGACACCCAGCCATATCACTCAGTGTTTTTAACCCTCGGTGATCATTGTCTCGGGGTCCCCAACCAGGGAGCCTAACGGGACCTATGTGACCTAATCTCCTGGTTAGGGTTTTCATACCCTCATGCCAGGTCTTAATTTGACCGCCCTAATCTTCTTCCAACCACTATCTGCCTTGGCAAACATCGCTCACCGTGGCAACCTATCTGGTGACATGCGCAGCACATGCTCCAACCAACGTAATCTATGGAGGTCGATCACTTGCTTCAGTGGACGACCGCAACTGCCTAAAACTCTACGCCTGACCTCAGCATTTCTCGTCCGGTTACCCAACCACACTCGTGCAATGCGGCGTAGACACTTCATCTTCGACCGATCAATAAAACATTTTTAGGTGGAATATATACACACAAAAGTCAGCTTTGATGCCTATTATTATGAACGGAATGGCATGTATATGTACTGGCGAGTTCGCAATGTCTGAATGAATATATTGATTAGGCGTGAGGAGAATGAGTGTGTCTCAAAGTGTGGAATTTGTAAGACAAGAGGATGGTGATGAATCCAACTACCATTCATACTTGAAGCTTCGGTTTGTCTTCTACAGCCTGGTCCCTTTATTCTTAGCTTACATCGTGCCTTTGTCGAACGCTTCAACTCCGTAATCGCTAGGACATTGGGAACAATTCGAGCGGTTAGGTAAGGAGCCACTGTCTGAGCAACAGTGCTTCAAACGATTTGAACACCGCATTGTGATCTCTATCCATCTGTTTTTTTTACCATACAACCGTTTTACTCTGTCCATCATGCCCCGGATACAGGTTATCGTGCCGAGTTCGAATCGAACGCGGAAGAATTACTCAACTGGTTAGAGAACAGTGCGGAAGCACTCGAGCTGATTACCATGGAAAAGCATCGAGCCCTGGAGGTGACAAATCAAGCCAAAGCAGCCGGACGAAAAGTATCCGCCTCAGTGGATGGTCGTGTGGAGAGTGCGGTAGAAGTGACAGATCGTGTGGCCAAGGAAGCAGTTGAATGGCGTGAAACAATGAACCGAGTGTTGACAATGGGGAAACGATATCACGACGAATTGCAACAAGGTAACTATTATTGAGCATACCTCTGTATCTGTGTCTGTGTGTGTCTGTTTGTGCGCGCCTGTGTGTCCGCACGCGGACCCGCTCACGATGATTTTGAGCTGGTTCGCGTCCTTTATAACTCATGACTGCTGCGTCCTGTTCCCAGTTAATTACCATCAGGACTCGAACCACAAATTTTGCCGCTTAGACCTAAAACTGGTATTATCGAAATGCGACAGACATTCACTGCATCAGTACAACCCTTTGTGAACTGACCAAAATTCAAATACGTAAATAGCTCTAAGAACCAATCGAAACAACTCCCAACGATTGAAACCTACACGAGAAACACAACCCGTTTTTTTTGTATGTTCTTTTTTTTAAAACTCGATTTTATTTTGCAAAACTTTGTATATCAGTGAGGTATTGATTGATTTTTGTAAAGAGGGATTATGCGATGATTATAGATGATGATGCTAACCCGGTAAACAATATTTCTCATCTACAAGTGAGGTTCAAAGTTTGATCATCAGTGGAGAAGTTCACTGAATAAAATTAACAACCTGTGGTATAGATTCGAAGTAGCTAGCTGCATAGTTGGGAAAACGTACATGATATGTAGCGTGACCGTACGAAAATAGCTTATCGTGGAAGTTGAGTAACGGTGGCCGGAGTTGAACCTCGTAACCTAAGGCTCAATAGGTATCAGTACCGGAGACCAAAAACACTTGACAACCACCGCTACCCCAACACAGACAACAAAACTGGAGGGGTGGGAATTATTTTCCTCACAATTTTAGTTGATTACTTCCTTATTTACTGGATATTCAAACGATCTAACAAGCACTGTTAACTTTGAATTTTTTTGGTTTATTTCGAATTCAATTTTTTCCGGACATACAGCAGGGGAAAGTGTGGAGGAACTGGATCAATTGTTTGAAGAAGTCGAAGAGCGGTGGGGCTATTTGGACACATTGTTAGAGGAAGCCAAACGTCAAGTTCGCGTGGCTAACCGGAGTGCGGAATTTCAACAGGAAGCGGCGAAAATTCAAGAGCTCTTGACCAAATCGCAAGAGAAAGATTCCGAATCTTCCCCGAAAGATCTGGAATCCGAGTCAGCGATCAAAGTTGTCCCCGCGGCCACATTGGCTGCACCTAAAAAGAACTATCCAGAAGATACTTCTGAATGTGAGCGATTTATCTGTCACAATACACCCCGTCTTGATTTACTTGCTGGGATATTCCCCCAGCCATCCTCAGGGTCACGACTCGTAGCGTAGTTGTATTGGGAAAATGCTTTATGTCTCGAAATTTCTTTTTGACACATATATTTCATAATAGGTAGTATATGATTGATGGAAGCACATGACCGGGTTCGCGGTTCTTGCCGCTCATCAGACATGCGTATCCGGTAACTTTTTGCCTGTTCATTCATATACCTGTACCCAGGAAGTGCTTTATCGTCACAATAACCTAGTTTGCAACACCAGATGACTTTTGGGTAGACAGCTCCTTCAGAGCCGGTCCATCGAAGAATCAATATTATGATTCGTTGTTTGTAGGTGGGTTAGATGCTACTAACCGTAACAAACGTAATTTGAGCGTCTTTATGGAACATTTCATAATAAGTAGTATATGATATATATATATATATGATGTTCAGTTGTTCGCCGAGCTTGGCAATTGTATTGCAAACGTTTCATCACCAGCCGAG